TCCTCTCCTCCGTCCGGAAAACGCAAGCGCAGTGGCTCCCAACACCATCCTACTGCCGTCCCTGCGCCTGCAGATCTTTTGCAACCTTCCTCCCGCGATGCGTCCGGCGAGGAAGGCGACGACTCCACCGGCCCAGCTATCCCACTGCCCAGCCCCAGCAAACACAAGAAACAGCCGTCCCAGGACGTAACATCGACCGGCGCTGTGCCCCCGTCCAAGCGGGCCCGGAAGGCTTCCGTCAGCGACAACAATAACCACGGTCATCTGTCCAACGGCAATGCGGCGGGAGCGCTAAACAAGGAAGACCCGGGCGAGCCGTCCGAGACTACCGTGGCCAGCAGCGACATCGAGAATCAGAGCACCCGACCGGGCTTGCAGATCGACACGACGGCACCCCCAGAGCACTTGTTGGAGCCTCCAAAACGCGGTGGGCTCCAGGATCCCGTCGGTTATCACACCAACCCGCCTCCAGTGGGTCGCCCGGTGCGGGTGTACGCGGACGGAGTGTTCGATTTGTTCCACTTGGGGTACGTGCGGTCCTTTTTTCCGTTACGGTGCATTCCGTTTATCGATGGCTAACCGGCGTGGTGATCACCAGTCACATGCGGCAATTGGAGCAGGCGAAGAAGGCTTTCCCCGACGTATATCTGATTGTCGGTGTCACGGGTGATGAGGAGACACACAAGCGCAAGGGATTGACGGTCTTGAGTGGCGCAGAGCGTGCAGAGTCCCTGCGGCACTGTAAATGGGTGGACGAGGTGATTCCCGATTGTCCTTGGATTTTGACCCCGGCGTTCCTCGAGGAGCACAAGATTGATTATGTGGCACATGACGACCTGCCGTATGGTGCGGATGAGGGCGACGACATCTACGCCCCGATCAAGCGAGAGGGGAAGTTCCTGGTCACGCAGCGCACGGAAGGTGTCAGCACTACGGGCATCATCACCAGGTGGGTTTCCGCGGTTGGGATGTGAATAAGCTGGCGAAGCTGATTCGATTCAGGATTGTGCGCGACTACGATCAATACATTTCGCGCCAATTCAAGCGCGGAGCCTCGCGTCAGGAACTGAACGTGTCATGGATCAAGAAGAACGAGTTGGAGATCAAGCGTCATGTGTCGGAGCTGCGCGACAACATCCGGGCCAACTGGACCACCACGGGCCAGGAATTGGGTCGCGAGCTGCGCCAGTTCTGGCAGAACAGCCGCCCCGGCAGCCCGGCGCCCAGCACCCGCAACAGCGTGGACTTGGGCGGCTCGCGCAGTGGACTGACGAGCGGACTGACGAGTCCCGTGCTGGGGAACAAGTCGCATGTCTCGCGGGTTGAGGCTCTGGGCCGTCCCGACAGCCCCATGGGCACTGGCCGCAACGAACCCCCTGATTACTTTGCCACTGGATACAGTCTGGGTCTGATTGGTGGCGTTCGATCATGGGTGAGTTCCTGAAGTCGCTATGCAAAGGAGGGTGCAGCCCGCTCACAAATTTCGGTCTAGATGCGCAGCCGTCGCTCGTTAGTGGGCAGTCGGGCCCCTTCCCCCACCAGCGAGGAGGAACATGAATCAGAGGCCGAGCGCAGCAGCGGCCAACAGCTACAACAAGAACACGAGTATGAACAACAACATGCAGCTGGTTCCCGGGCATGAGTGATATGTGTTCTTACTTGATGATACTTTGTTTCTGCTCTTGTCGTTTCTCGCCCCGAACCCCTCAACCCACTGAACAACCTAATTCACCTACCTTCTTGGGTCATGTCTCCCTTCCCCACAACCTCTCTCCCTCCAGATAATGTAAGGTTAGCAAAAGGACCGGTCTGGGTATGAGCTTAACTTTTGAAATTGGACATCAACCCTTTCTTTTCTTTTCTTTTACCTCCTCACTTCCTCTTATCTTGCGGAAGCCTTACACGAGCAGCCTCATATGAGAAGAGCGGTGCATCAACCAAGGGAATCTCAATTTCGATGTGGGTTCAAAAATGAGTAATATGTATCCTTACGGGCCTTTTCTTCTCTGGTTCCGACAAAATTGTTACGGGCGATGTATCATTATAGGATGGGGTGGGATATTGCTTTAGGGGAAAGGACTATTTCCTTGAGATGGAGGTTGTTTTTTGGGGAGGTCGTGTTTCTGCACGGGATGGGATGCAGGGGCTTAATATGATGATGTGTATTGTACTGTACAGAGATACTAAATTGTTATAGATGAATTGGGACTTGTACTTCTGGATGGTGTGTTGTCACTCGGAGTGTAGTGTGTATACTTATGTACTGCACTTCATGTATAAGGATAGAATGCGAGTGACCTCACCTCGCCTCGCATTTTAGAGGTCGTCAGGTACGTTGCTGGACGGATGTAACAGAAAGAAAAGGGTATCTATGAATCTATCGTCTATCGTCAATTCATCTCTCCCTCCCACCCGAGGGAATTCTATGGAAATCAAGCCGAACAAATGGCCAACCTCCGCTTTCTTCTCTGCCACCCCTCCTTCCCAGCTCTGAACCCGTACCCATGGTCATACCCATACTCCGCCGCCGCCGCATCATCCTGTCCCTCCTCACATCCCGTGCAACGGCTCGAACAAACCCACCCCCGAATCTCCGCCCGCAACCGCCCCAGCCGCTCCGCCCCGCCGACCTCCCGCTCCACCCCCGCCCGCGCCGCCGCATCGCACCGCGCCGTGACCGCCAGCTCGAACCGCTTCAATCCGCGCACCCGCCGGACGATGGGCCGTAGCCATTCCGCATTCACGCCGGCGTGGAGCGGGAGCTTGTGGCCGCCGGTTATGCTGCCCGCGGCGGGGTTCGTGGCGGTGGGGGCGGCGGTTGCGGTGAAGCGGCCCAGGTCAATGCAGAGGGTTAGGTCGGTGAGGTGCGGGCACCGGGTGGTGGTTCTTTGCCAGAAGGTTGTCCAGAGGTGGGGGTTGTGCGTATAAGTGTGGATTGAGTGGGGGGGTCTGGTGTTGGTGGGAGTTCCTGCTGTTTCTGTTGGTGGCGGTGGTGGGTTGTTGCTGTTGCCGTTGCCGTTACTGTTACTGTTGCTGTCGATGTGGTTATGGCTATGGCTGGTTTCCCGGTCGTGGAACATCCCTCCCAGCGGGACGACCTGCACGCTCAATTTCCGCACCTCCTGCAGGCAGGTCGGGTTGACCTGGTCGGTGAATGCGATCCAGGTCGATAGGTCGTCGACATCGAAGGTCGCCTGGCGGTACAGCTGGGGTGCTGCTTCGTTGTAGATCGCGCGGCAGGTGCGCAGCAGGCTTGCTGGTGTGGTGCTGAGATGTGAGGGGAGGGAGGGGTGGGTGTGAGGGTAGAGTTTGCTGTTGGGGTCGGTGTTGGGGTGTTGTTTGTTGGTGCTGTTGCTGTCGGTTGGTGAAGCAGCGGACGAGGTATCAACGTCCGTACGCCATCGCGCGGCGGTGACCGGACAGCAGCGCCGGTTCTTGTCAATCGCAGAGACAGAATTGGGGCAGCGCACGTGGCGGATTTGATTACGGATCTGAACGAGGTGGAGGACGGGCTCGCCGAAGACGTGGGACCAGATTATGGACCGGATCTCCGGGGGCAGGCGGTTGAAGAGGGGGCTGTTAAGTTGAGGGTCGATTGTCATGAAAATATCCGGGGTTGATGGCTTGGTTACAGAGGTAGACGGAGTTGGGGCGCAGATTTGGCGTTCTTGGATGAGTTCGCGGATGTTTTCTGACCAGCGTCGGTTGGTGGGATAGTAGTGGAAGATTGAGTAGGGTTCGCGGAGGAGCCAGGCGTCGAAATGGCGCATTGTATCGAGACTTTTGTCTATATCTAGAAGAAGCACGAAAGAACGAAGTAAAGAGTGTAGGAAAAGCGATTGGCTGTGTAGGGAGGAAAAAGGAAAGGCGAGATGAGGCTGCACACTCTATATAAGCTTCCCCTTTTCTCCAGCCATATCGGGTCAAAAGTACTCTCCACTGCCCACTCTAGTCGGTTAAGTCCATCAAATCATGGAGACAGTAGGTGGTAACGCCACTGGCAATCACACTCAGGCTGCCCCCAATCATGGCCGTTCGCGGTCAACCTCGGGTTCTTCCGTGAGTCCAGCCGATGGGAAGAAGCAGCTAAATGACGTCGTGGCGTCCAATCACACCACCACGAAATGAGGCCTCGTTTCTCTGGCAGGGACAGTTGCAATGCATTGGGTTTCATGACTGCATGGCTGCATGGCTGCATAGGACGAGAGTGCTCCGAGCCGACAATTCGAGGGAGACTGTACTGCGACATACTGCGGCATACCGGGGAGATGGATGGTCGGTTGCCTTCAGGTTAGGTTTGCTCGGTGAGATTGTGGGTTGGCGTGTTTGTTCGGCGTGTTTTAGTGCTAGTCCTATGGTAAGTATGTGATTCCAAAGTCATCTGTGGGAGTGGAAGTGGAAGTTGAGTTGAATTGGTGTATTGGATTGATAGATATGAGTAGATCATGGATTCAAACTCCGTCCACCCCCGGATCGACAAGAAAACCCACCTGGGGTTGGATCATTGGTCAAAAAGGCAAGTCAACCGAGTCCCGTCAAGTCCCACCCCGCACCTTTCTTTTCTACTCCATCCACTGCACTCATACTTAAACACTCCAACCTCTTTCTTGCATCATTTCATTTCGTCTCATTCGTCATATAGTTCATACACTCATGCACTTCGCTCATCACCCTTCTATATCACAGCGTCCTACTACTGCACTCCGTGTATGCAAGTCGCTTGCTCCGCTTTTTATGCCCCTCCCGCACTAGCCGAATCTGCCATGGGGTTGCATTCTTTACTACCCAGGAGTCGACTTGATCTGTTATGTGTATCAATCCACGGGTCAAATGCCTCAGATCGACCTCCCTATTATGCTCACTTGCAGGAAGTATGTATCCAGCTGCATGCCTCGCGTCTACCTCGTCCCGCTTACCTCCAGCCGTTCATTTTCCTCATCGACTGGTTCTGCAGCGGTGACGTCGTTCTTGCTGGCAGTCTCAACTGAGCCATTCTCGGGTTTCTGGTCCTCTCGTGCAACGGCCACATAGATGGCACAGCCCAGAATTAAACCCGATCCGACCCAACTCACCGGAGACAGTGTGCTGCCCCAGACCATGCGGTCATAGAACAGCGCGAACAACATCTGGGTGTAAATCATGAACGTAGCGCGTGACCCGGACGAGGTCTTTGCTGCAGGAGGCTTCGTTTCGGCTTGCTGCTGCTGCTGCTGCTGCTGTCCCTGCAATTGTTCTTCATCCTCTACACGGCCGGTCGCTTGAGTACCATACGAGTTCGATTCCCAGCCTGTCGCAAGATCTTTGGGCGCCCGTTCCGGCGGAACATAAGACAGGCCAGCCGTGAGGAGGAACTGCAACAGGAATCCGCACACTCCGAGACCCAGCAGCAGAGTCCATTCAAACAGAGTAACCGGCAACGCGAAGGGTATGGACGGAACCAGCAGCATCGCGAGAGAGGCGACAATCGTCGTGTACGAAGAGAACCAGGTGACGGATACGAGTGGGTGACAGCGCCGGCCGATCATACGAATGGTCGTATAAGCACAAGTGGCTCCTAGGACACCCAGCAGGGCAACAGCAATCGCCAAAACGTGGTGATAGCTGTCCGTTGCACCGGGCTTATCGCCTGACTCTCCATCGTCAGTCTCTTCCCCCGAGCGCATGAAGGCGAAAGGGCGAGCGATCAGAATTACACCGATCAGGGACACGAGCCCAGCCATTAACTGCTTGCGGGTGAACGTCTCGCGAGGGATGAACAACGAGCAGGCGTATCCGGTAAGGATGGGAACTAAGAAGGTGACCACAGTGGCCTCGGACAGAGGCAGATACTGCACTGAGTAGTACAGCCCATAGACGCCGAAGAAGCCACCGCTGGCACGTAGGAACAGAAGCAACAAGATCGGCTTGGTCCCAAGCGGCTGCGGCACTTTTGTGTACCACATATACAGATAACTGGCTATGACAGTGATTGACATGCGCGCAAAGAGGATCTGCGGGGGGGTTAGCGGTCGACTAACACAGCAGCGAACGTCTGGTTTCACACAACCGATCAAGCAAAGCGGCACGCGATCAAGACATACCTGAAACGGATGATAGCCCTTCCCATTATTCCCCTTGATCTCCAGAACCTGCGTCATGACATTCATAGTAGCGCCGAAAAACTGGGCGCCCAAAACAAAGATCATACCCTTTCCCTGCAGCCAGAGCTCCTGGCTCGAGTGGCGCAGGGAAGACCACCAGGACGGCGGGTGGTGGGAGGAAGCTGAGGTCAATTCATCAGGCATCGTCGCTGGTGATGAGCGAGCCAGAAGGGGACTCTGCTCGCTGGGTGCTTCTCTTATCGTCTCCCGCTGGCTCGGAGCCTCGTGGGATCGAGAAGTGACGCAAGTGGCCATTTTGTAATTGCCTCGTGTTTTTCTGAAGGCTGATTTGTGTTTGTTATCCGAGGTAGTTTTCCTGTTTGTCCCTGGTTCGGGAGTGATTGACATGTACTGGGTACTGTTCAGTACTTCAAGCTTTCTCGCAAGTCGATCCGATCTGAAGGCGATAAGGAAATATACACAGATTCTATCGTAGACGTGCTGTATATATACCTCCAGTCATTCCCCTGGTCCAGTCCTAAACCTCTCCGTCAACAAAACAGAGACGACAAGGAATTTAATAAGAGCAGCCGGAGGAAAGAGAAATGCGAGGGCAAAAAAAAAAAAATGTACTAAGTACAAGGACGCCCCCCCCAGAATGACTAATCACCGCTTTTCGCGCACTTGACGAGCTTTTTTTGAAAACAACAGACCAGACCTTGATTGTGATTCGATCGAAAGAGTAGATCAGCTGAGCTTGAACAAACGAGACCTTAGACTGACTGGGGTTGAAGGTGTTAGCAGTAGGCATCCATTCTGCCCGGTTACTGTAGCCTTATGCTATCACGAATGGCGATTAGACCGATTTTTGCTATCGAAATACAATCGGGTTCTACTATACAAAGTTCGTAGTATATCACTTTATAACGAAATCTGAACCAAGGTGTTCCCCTCTACATGTGATGTTTGCTATATCGTGAGGCTACAGTAGCACTGGGATTTTCTTTTGCTGCTCCCACCCACCCCCTCCTCCTCCGATCTACGGATGTCGGTGAAGGAGCCGAATGGTTTTTCCTGTGGAAAAGTGGATTGGGGATTGGCACGCTGATCTTGACATTTTGCGGGTCCGCATGAACAAAGATGCTGAGATTATACATGAAGTACGTAGCTGTTATCTGGGTAATTATGAATGAAGAATTGATTTTAGGGAAAGAGAACAATAGACGTACCAGACCCCCCCTGCACTGCAGGGGCTGGCTGGAGGATTATGGCCGTTGCTGAGACGGTAACGATGTCGGACTTCTCTCCGAACCAGTAGTTAACACTACCGGTACTAATACATACAGCTTGAAGCTGCAGACCTAGACCTATCTATCTACATGAAGGTGAAAGTATCCCCACCCTTCTCGCGCATCATGTTGCCGAGGCGCTTCGTCCCGACGATCCGCTCCAGCTTCAGGGCATCCCACTTGGAGAACAGGGCGCGGACGCCGCCGCCCTGGGCGGCCTCGGCGGCCTGCGCGGGGTCCAGGCCCAGGAAGCCCACGATCTCGGCGTAGAAGGTCGGGTTCTCGGGCACCCCGTACATGATGATGCGCTTGACGCCGCGGAGCTGGTAGCGGCGGAAGTGGTGGATGCGCTCGGTGTACAGCAGGACCGAGTGGCGGCCCTGCACGAAGTGGGTGCGGGCGCGCGTGCCCTCGCGCACGTCCGTGTACTCGCTGATGGCGCCGAAGGAGACGTGGGTCGTCTGCGTCGAGGTGGCGAAGTAGTTGCGCACGCGCACGAAGTCCAGGTACGAGGGGATGAAGATCAGCGTGCCGCCGCCGCCGCCGTTCTTGCTGAGGTCGCGCACCAGCGACGACAGCACGGTCGTCGTGAAGTGCTTGAACCGCGCGTCCGGGTCCTTGGCCGGCGAGAGGCTGTCGAAGCGCGAGAAGGTCTGCCGCACGGGCACGGGGAGCGCCAGTTCCCCGATGGCGCCCGCGTAGACCGGGCTGACCTTCACCCGGCCGAAGACGTTCTGCATCTGCGTCGAGAACGCCGCGTTCATCTCCGGCGTCAGGAACGAGGACAGCATGATCATCTGCCGGACGTGCCGCGCCTGGTTGTCCAGGTACCACGTCCGCACCCGGCTGAAGTCGCAGCCGTGCGCCTCCCGCGGCTGCAGGTTCAGATGCTTGAGGATGTAGTCGACGTGATCCCAGTTCTGCATGAGCAGGCCGTCCGCGTGGTCGATGATGACAACTTCGATCGAGGACAGGAAATCGTGATCACGCTTCTTCGCACTGGGGGAGGGGGGTCAGTAAGCTATTCGGTCACGTTCTCAGGGGGGGGAAGAGTGAGGGTCAGCGAGGAAGAAAGTTGCTTACTCGGCTTGGTCCATGATTGTGCGCAGACCGAGCGGACTGGCAAGAATCATGTCGGATGTGTAGAATTGAGCAAAGTACTTCACGGTCTTGCGCGTGAATTTGAGACCCAGGCGGAACATGTCATCGTCGTTGCCGCCGAACAGGTCGCGGAAGTCGTCCGGCTTGTTCTCCCAGGACTTGTCGTCAGCAGACGAGAAGGTGTCGAGAAGTCGCTTCCGGTTCTCCTGTTGCTCGGGCTGGAAGAACCGCGTGATGGCGTCCACCGCCCGCACACAGGCTTGCTTGGTGGGCAGCAGGTACAGCACCTTGGGCCGGGTGAAACCTTGATCCCGGACGTCCAGGTCGGAGTCTTGTTCCTTGGCCACGCGAGCGTTGTTCTTGAGGACGCGGTCACGCGTCTTCAATACATGATTCGTCGCATGCAGAGCCAGGAGATCTCGCAGGTGAGCTGCGTTGTCTGCCGTGCGAGCGCCATAAAGGACATCCTGGTAGTCGAAAACGTAGGGGGCAAGATGTTGAGCATCGCCATCGATCTTGGAGATATGTTCCGTCGCAGGAGCCTTGAGCTTCTTCTTGAGCTAAGAGCAACGATGTGTGTTAGACTTCCGTCTGGTCGTGTGGAGACTGGGTGCAATTTGGCCTACCTTGACGCTCGAGATGCTCTTCATTGCGGCCAACAAGGATGCATCGTCGCCCGTATCAGGAATGGAGCGCACAAACTTCAGCCCCTCGGCAAGTTCCTTCTTGGTACTCTTCCACTTTTTCTCCTCAATGGCCTTAATCCTCTTGTTCAAGTCCTCTTCTTTGAGGGCGTTGAAGTGGGTGTCGAAAGGATCATTATCTGCTGCGCATCAGCGGGCTATGTCCCGATTATTGAAGATTGTCCAGATCTTCCTACCATCTTCATCATCACTGTCTGCTTGTAACTCTGCCTCTTCTTCGGGCTGGTTGTCTTCGTCCTCGGCGTCCGACGGTGCTTGTTGCTCTAGATCGTCCTCTCTCAACAAAGCCTCATCCTCGTCCTCTTCTGCGTCATCGCGGGTCACCTCTTTAACCTCGGCTTTTCGGTGATCGGTCTTTCGCTTCTTGCGAGCGGGGCCATTGGCGTCGTTGCCGGCGTTCAGTAGTTGCAACAACTCGTTATAGGAATGTCCCTTCTGGTCCGCTTCCTCTTCGCTATCGGACGAGTCCTGGTCCAAGAGTTCTTCGTCGGCCACGGCATCCTCCATAGGCTCGTCGAATGAGCCATCCTCACTGTCAGACGAGGCTTCCGACCTGCCACAGTCGGTCAGCTGGCGTGACTTGTGTTAGACGCGAATATGATGGAGCGCTCACTGGATCTCATCGACTCGGGATGCTTGGAAGGCATCTCTGCGACTAACGCCGCCACGGGTGCGCTTTCCGCGCCCTCTAGGAGCTCTACCTCTACCACGAGGAGGAGCCATTCTGGATTGTTGCAGAAATTAACTGAATGCGAACTGACCGGTAAATTTGTAGCTAGTGAACAGACGGGAAACCCGACCAGAAACTCTTTTTTTCACAAGGCGGGTTGAATCTGGGCGGCGGTGCTTATCTTATCTTAGCGCGAAATTCCCTTTGCGCACACACAATTTGAGGCTCGCAGCAGAACCTCCGTCCGCCGCAGCCCAGAGGCGGAAAGAGAAGATTTAATCCTCCCTCCCCAGAAGAGCCACCATCACAACCCCACCCCGGAGACCAAACAGAGAGATCTCCGACTGCTGTGTGAATCAGCCATCTTAACCTCCTCCCCTCCTTCCAATTACATTACCACCTTTGCTCTCTCTCTCTCTCTCCCCCTCACTTCCATCATGGCTGACACCGATTCCTTCGTCCATCTCGCCCGCCCTCTGGGTCCCGTGGCAGTGGGGTCTGCACCGACGACCGCCCCTGTGAATGTTGTTATTCAGCCTCAGGTAGGTCGAGCTTGAGCTTGCTTTGTTGAAGTTCTTTCACCCGGGAGCAATTTGATTGATGGTTGCTGCTAGGCTCTGTTCTCCATCCTGGACCACTCTCTCCGTCGCAATGCCGACCAGGAGCGTGTCATCGGTACTCTTCTGGGAACCAGGTCCGAGGATGGCACCGAAGTCGAGATCCGCAGCACCTTCGCCGTGGGCCACACCGAGACGACAGACCAGGTTGAGGTGGATATGGAATACCAGAAGCAGATGCTCGCCCTGCACCTGAAGGCCAACCCCAAGGAGGTCCTCGTGGGTTGGTACGCCACCTCGTCCGAGCTCAACACCTTCTCGGCCTTGATCCAAAATTTCTACAGCGGCCAGGGCGACGGCACGTGGCCTCACCCCGCCGTTCACTTGACCGTCTCCACCGAGGCCGGCAAGGACATCGAGACCCGCGCCTACATCTCTGCCCCCGTCGGCGTGACCGCTGAGCGTGCTGCCGACAGCGCTGCCTTCATCCCCGTTCCCTATGAGATCCGTTACGGCGAGGCCGAGAAGAGCGGTCTCGAGGCCATTGCCGCTGCCCGGGATGCCGAGGAGCGCTCCGCCAACATCTTCACCGACATCGAGGCCCTCGAGCGCGCCATCGAGGAGGTTCTCGGTATGATCGACCGCGTTTCCCGCTATGTCGAGTCCGTGATCGACGAGGAGGCCCCCGCCTCCACCGCCATGGGTCAGTACCTCCTCAACACGCTCGCCTTGGCTCCTAAGGTCGAACCCGCCGACATTGAGCGTGACTTGTAAGTTTTCTTCCTGTCTGCCCCAGTACACCAAACAAAGCATCAAAAACTAACCCAATCCCTGCAGCAACAACCACATCCAGGACGTCCTGGTTGTGTCGTACTTGGCCAACACTATCCGCACGCAGATGGAGCTGTCCAACCGGCTAGCCACCGCACAGCTGACCCTGGGCGGCGAGGGCAGCGGCGAGTCCGGCGCCCAGCGCGGCGGACAGCGGGGCGGCAAGGGAGGCCGTGGTGGTCAGCAGCGGACTCAAGAGCGGAGCGGCGAGGAGGCTCGCGCGTAAAGAGGATATTATGATAGGGTTCTGATTTAAAGACAAAAGAAAAACGATACCTTCCATTTTTTTCTCTCATCAACCACCGTCCCACCCACATTTTTCTCATATCTTTTCTTTGTCTCGACTTGGTCTTTTCTCCGTGCATATTGATCCCATTAACGGTTTCCATGAATCTTCCGCAATTTGCATGTTGGTCAGTTTGAGTTTCTGGCTTGCTTGGTATTGCGCTTCAGCTTGCGAAGGCTCAGGCCGCGATACCAGCACTTTCTATACATACAACGCTCCCCACATCCACACATACTTACCCCCTGCCCCTGGAGAATCTCTTTCGTTTGATCTTGCCTGGGATATCTGTCTGCTGCCAAACTGTGCCCTCTTTCGGCTCCAGCTCCAGCTCGGAGAGGATAGTTCCGTGCTTGTCAGTCGCATCCAGCCAACTAAATTCCGGGCCCCTAGCCAACGGGACCTGCAAAGCTGACAAC